AGGCAGACTAAACATGATGAAATTATCGAAAGCGTGAAATTTGCGCTTTTCGAGCACGCTTATTATACTTTATAAGTTGTGCGGTTCATTTTCGACGTTTATTTTCATATTTTTGCGAATATATGACGCGAAAACAGCAAAAAGTATATTACGAGCACGTATGTGGTGGTGGTGCAACCCGGCAAGTATGCACCTTGTTACGGGAATGCGCATCGGCGCGTAACGGGGCCTTTGTGGTTGAAAATTGGTAAACTCGCCGCCTCGGAGCTATGCGAATATTTCGTATTCAGCGGCATCCGCGCCTTCACGCGCCAACTATTGGCTACTCTCTTTCGCATTCCAATTCTTTTTCGCGTATTTCCGGGGAAGCCTGCAAAGTTTCCGTGGCTAACTTCTTCAATTGATAAAAGAACGGGAAAAAAATATATGCGGAATTAATGATAATAACAATTGAAGCATCTCTTCAATAAATTATCTCAATATAGAATTATTAATATACTTATATACAATATCGAGACGCAGAAATTTTAACAATTGAACTTTATCTTTAGACGAATCTACTACTGCGCATTCAAATTTTGTCTTCAATTTTTTCTTTATTCCAACTTTTATTTTAATTTTATTCACGTTTTATTTCTTATTCTACAGTTTATGTTTTTACTTATCAAATTTTAGTATACTCTAAAACTTTATTGCCTTTATGTCAACACTTTGTTTCTAAAATCAGCTAAATTTTTTCCGCAACTGCAAAAGCACGTTATATTTTGTTAGAATAGTGGATCTATGTGTGCTATGGCTGGCATTATAATTAGGTTTAGTGACTTCCGGAAAGAGGGCAATACAAGTATTTTTATGTTTAATTCTGTTTCCTATCTACGTTATGTTTACCGCTCTATGTTCTTCTTCCGGTGGCGTCCGTCGCACGTGCAACTGCCTTTCACTTAATCCTTTTATTGTCTTGACGTTGACAGCTTTATTTACTAGTTTTTATTTTTTATTACATTTTAATAAACAGAAATTGTGTGTATTTCTCATGTCACATCCTACTTGTAAGACAATAAATTTTTCTTAATTTTTCAGAAAAAAAATCTTATATATATGTATACATATATATATTGATAACTTGAATGAAAAAAAATCACAAGATGTGTCGCTCTCACCAAAAAACATTTCAAGTGGTGATATAGCTACTTTTGCAAATGGGTTACTCAAATGTAATCTGCGATGTGCACTTATAATTTTAATTTAATCGTTACTCAAACTCTTTGATCAAATATTAAACATGTATTATATCGAAAATTTGCACCATCCTACGCCATCCGTATCACCTTGAACGTCAACATTAGAATTTTAGAATATTCTATGAAATTAACAGTTTTTTTTATGTTATTCCATTCATTCTTATTTCCACTTTTATTCTTCACGTTTTTGTTGCGTATTTATATCTTTATTGCGGTGTGTTTGCTCATCTCACCGTGCTCTATTACTAATGAAATTCCTCGCAACGTAGTCTCCGAGAAGATCTTAATATAATGCGACTATGCAAATTTTTGGGGTTACTATGCGTCCTCAAAATTCTGCGCTTCTCGCCTTAATTCTTACTACGAGTGCAGCGCACTACTATATGTATACCAAGAGTCGACGGATTAAGTTGATCATTTTAATTGGATTAGTATCCATGCTAGTGGATTAAAGGAAGAAATTAAAGGCTTTGAAGTACTTGCGATTCTCGTTCAATTCGTTCAATGTTACTCATTTTAAACTACAATATCAGAATTTGGATAATAACAAATTCGATATGATAAAACTAAGGAACATCGTAAAACAGAATGATAAAATTACTACGATTAATAATCCGTCGTAGATTATTTTCAATCTGTAATTGAAAAGATGCAATTATAATAATTGTAGATTCGTATACATAAATTGTTGTTCATTTCATCAGATCTTCTTTGTTTCGTAAATTACTGTTTAAATAATCCATCATTATAATATGGTATAATCGTGCAATGTTCATGTAATCCCTGGAATAGCACTGAGTAACTGCATGCAAGATGTTGCATTTCGTTGCATTTGGAAAATTTCAGGTTTGACTTTTATTAAGTAAACATTCTTGGAGAATCAAATATTAGTATCGAGTGATATGATTTGTTTCACAAAAAGTTCAAATTCTATAAAATGTTTATAAATTTTTTGAATGCGAAGAGAAGTACAAAATTATATTTAGATAAATTTAATTAACCAAAACGTAAAGAAAAAACACTAAAATACATGTATTTGCATATACCATATATGTATATATGTATACATATCATATATATATGTACATACATATGTATATATAATATTTTTACTTATCTATATTCACTCATCTTTTAATTAAAAATTTAATAATGATTGATAATAAATGAATAATCAATAAATCATTAAATCGTAGATTTTTAAAGAAGATTATAAATTCTCTTATATTTATATATAAGATTATAAGATTATGAAAAAAATATTTATTATATTATATATAAAAAGATTATAAGTAAAGAGTAAGAGCAAGCGTCCAAATCCGACTTCCAAAATTGAGAACATTTATCAAATCATAAACAGCTATGAATACAGCCCTAAAATGTTCCAGGCGTATCAGCGGACTCTCCAAGTTTCTACAAATCTTTGAAGCGATAAAAATACATCAGCAGCTCGGAGAATTTACGTGTGGAAAGTGACGGTTTGTGTAACGCATTTCCGACATTTGACGTCGTTTGATGTGTCCATTCATCGCATCACGGGAATACCGCACGTTTCCGCGTATTTACATGCGTTCTGGCTAACAATAAGTCTATATCTATATGAGATTTATTATCTTATTTTCTCGTTATCATTTCTACTAAAAAAGCATATCATTAAAAACGCACAACAAATGTCAAGGACTCCGAAACAACCACTTAATTTAAATCTTTTACCGTTATGTTTTGATAAAAAAAAGGGAGTGTAAAAAAGTTCACATAAAATTTACGATTAATTAATTTCTGTTTTATAATTTTTGACACATGAAGAATTATGCACAAAAAGAAAATTTATGCAAATTGCTTAATTATAAATCTTCATAAAAGTATAATAGAATGTTACAGAAGAGAAATAAACTTTATATATATAATCAACTATTATTCTTATTAATAACTTTAAATATTATAAATAATAATAAACTAGAAGAAGAAAGCCATTTACGGTCGAAGCTGGATCACAGTGCTTATTATAATTGTGTGAATTTTATATACTGCGTATGTATAGTCCCCCCGTAAATCGTGACGCTGATAGTTTTTCAGCATTGTTAATAATATGTTGAAAGACATATATTAAATTTTTTAACGAGATGAAGTAAAGATAAATCTGTGAAAAATAAGATTGCGAAGAATATCACGAGTTGGCGTTTCGTCCCGGTTTCCACTACTGGACTCATCAGTAAGGCATTGTAATGGAAACCTACCTTAGAGGCCTGTTTAGTAAGCATGTATGTATGCGTCAATGCTGAAAAACTATCAGCGTCGCGATTTATGGGGGGACTACATACGCAGTATATAAAATTTACACAATTATAATAAGCACTGTGATCCAGCTTCGACCGTAAATGACTTTCTTCTTATAGTTTATTATTGTTTATCAATTGTACGGTCTTAAAAATATTCTAGTATTTTTTAAATATTATCTTAAATTATTCACGCGGATATTTTGTCCAATGTGTTTTAATATTAATACATATTTCAAATATGACTGAAATTTGAATACAGTTTAAACTTCTCTTTACTTTATAATCAATTTTTCTAATTGAAAATTGAAAAAGGGAGTTGTTATTTCACATTCGTTGCTTCATGCAGATTACATATATGCAAGAGTTTATGATCTTTTTTTCCTTAAATATAAACTTTATATATATGTAAGAATATGAGTATAAAAAAATCAGGATTAGCAACGTTAACCTCATAAAAATAACTCGTTACCGTTACCGTTCCTTCTTCTAAAAAATAACTCGTTCCCATTACTCGTTATTGATTTGCAAAAGTAACTTGTTACCGTTATCGTTACTAAACTACAACGAATCGTTACTTTTTCGTTACTTTTCTTCTTGACACTAATTTAATATTATGTGCAGATTTTTTTGACAAATGTAAAAAAGATATCAAAATTCTATTTTTTAGTAGAGAAATAGAATTAAAAAATAGAATTTTGATATATCTCACGTGATCTCGCTGGTCTCATCATTACAATCTACGTGCTATACGTTAGCCTATAAGTGCGTTCCGTTTCACGCATAATGCGTATAATACATGATCACTTTATCCTTGTTGTATACCAAATATTAAAGGAAAATAAAATGATACATTATGCGCATAATGCGTGAAACGGAACGCAGCCTATATGTGTGAACTGATGAATACAATGTGAAAAAAGGCATCGTGATTATGTGATTAAGAGAGCCAATATCAGGACCTATTCCTTTAATGTCGTATTTCTGTTTTCTAATTACGACTACAACTTTTACGTAACTAAAAATAAAGTAACGATAATAGTAACTAGTGAAATTGTTACTATTACCCCAAAAATGTATCTGCGTTACCATGAACGTTACTCTGAAGAAAATGTAACCTGTTCATTACCGAAAAAGTAACTTGTAACGATGACGACATTATATCATAAATAACGCGTTACTTGTCAATTCTGAAAAAATGATATAATCTTATTTTTCACTTAATTTTAAATATATGTTTTAAGAGAATTTAAATTTAAAAAGTGCGATTATTACGTATAAATTGTACAACTATTTATAATAAAATTGTGTCATATTTTCATAATTTTTCTTGTCCAAAAATACGAGCGTATGAGAATTTCGAAATAAACTTTTCAATGTTAAAGCTTGAATAGCAGACAGTCTAAGATAGTTTATATCAGATAACATGACACCTTTTCGCCCCGATCTGACACCCTAGCTTATCGTCTTTTCGAATTTTCAGGGTATTGGCCATTCGGCGTGGTGTGGTGCAACGTATACGTGACATGCGACGTGCTGGCGTGCTCGGCGAGTATAATGCACATGTGCTTCATCTCCCTGGGCCGTTACCTGGGTATTCGTAATCCGCTCAGAACACGTCACACATCCACAAAACGAATGGTGGGTTTCAAGATCGCCGCGGTCTGGCTATTGGCTATGCTAGTCTCCAGCTCCATCACGGTGTTAGGTAAATTATCCTTTTCCTCACGCATCTCTCTTATTATCAGCGGCGACTATCTATGGGGATCACCCCGTAATAGAAAGCCCTCAATATGGACTAGCACATTTCTCATAAAATGAGTAAGTGCGAACGCGATGAAAGCGCGTTGAATTGGCAAACAATTCCTGAGATGAAATGTATTCAAGAAGCTGTGACTGCCGTTTCATGTTTGCTCACACTCATAGAATATACAATTCTCTTTATTCTGGACAATTCTATTCAAAGATAGTTGTGTTTATCTATTGTGTTAACCTTTATGACAAAAGGACTGTATTAAGGATTTTCATTATAAGAATGATAAATAATAGGATTTTATTGGATCTCTCTCATTTCCTTGTAAAGGCACATCGCTTGTTCTAAAATTTTCAAGTAAATTAAATTTCATATTCTCGGTAAAAACTCTTCGAAAGAGCATACTATTTTATGAGGAACTGCATCGCACCTCTTGTGAAAAATTTAAATCCTAAACCGATTATGCATATTAGTGAACAAATTTTCTGACCTAATAGATATTTTCCATTTGCTACTTACAATTAAATATAAATTATAATTTAATCACTTCAATAATTAATCGTAGCGTCTCTCTCTCTCTCTCTCTCCCTCTCTCCCTCTCCTCTCGCTTTATCTTTCCTCTCTTTCCATTGTCTTTGTTATTTGATATTACACTTATTTCTATTGTACATATATATTTTTAATAATGTCTGCTGTTTTTAAACAGTAAATAACGTACCTAAAAATCTTCCTATTTTTAAAATTAAATAAATAAACGTTATTGTAATGCATACAAGTAAAATGTATGAGTCTCTACAGGATCGTTAATGCGTAAATTATGTGCATAACTGTATATTCATAAAGCGATAAAATATAATTCGCAAACAATTAAATTGTATTTATTAAAGAAAATTAACTGCAAACGTTTCAACTCTGGATTTAAGTCCTCTTCAGTGTGAAAATTAGATTTTACATTTTCGAAAATTGTGATAAAGTAAAGGTGAGAAGATACGAGTAATACCTCGACGGATCGATAGAGGACTTTGCGTTTTTATGAGCCGATAATTTTCACTGTATTCTCGCGAGATGAAGAGCGAAAAAGCATGACGATACCGCGATGCTTTATCGGCATAATACACATTTATCAAGACTCTCAATGGCCGCCCTAATCGATAATAGAGAATAACCTGTACCTCCTTCCTCCTTTTTGTCTTCTTGTAATGCAAATAACCCAATAAAAATTCCAATTAGTTGAATTACATTCAATTTCTCGGAATTTTTCAAATTTCACATTTGTTCGCTTGTTAGAGAGGCTCGAGTGCGCAAATTTAAAGAAGAGGTCGGATTTGAAATTATTCTTCAAAATGATTTCTTTTTGTAAGTATAGAGGAAAAAAGACGATAATATATAGGTAATATGTGAAATAAATGAGATGTTGTGGAATATAGCCACTAGTTGTTAATGCTTATTGCACCAATTACTGGCGCCAATTGTTGATATCAAATCTTTGTTGATATCTTTTATATATAAATAGTACATATTACTACAGTTAACTAAATTAAGAAATACTACCACCATTATCTATAATATACAATATCAAAATAAATATCACGACAATAATTATCTGCAAAATGTTGCATGTTTTTTACTGAAATTAACAATGAAATTTAACTTGGCGCCAATTATTGATATCAAATCTTTTATATGAATCATACTCATCATATTTGAATCAAACACATTTCACTAGAATAAATTTAAAAATTAGTGATGTGATGTCATTTAGGTTAAAATATATCATATCACCAACTCTATTAACGCTAATCAATGATAAACAGCAAACACGATTAGAGATGTGTTAAAAACACATTCTCTGCTTTATGCAAGTTGACAAAGATTAATGTTTTTTTTAAACATGTTTTTAATGCCTCAAATACGCTTTAAGCCATATTATAAAAAAAACATTTAAAACATATTAAAAACATCGATTAAGCATGTTTTAAAGTGTTTAAAACATGTTTTTTTACCATCCCTAGCTTTATGTGATCGCAGTGCATGCTCGTGCCGCACTATATCATGACTGTGGCAGATTTTCTAATCTAAATAGTTGAAGATGCTTTACTCTGGTGGAATCAACGATTTCAGCGAAACTTTTACAACACAATATGATCGACCAGCCAAGATACTTGGACACTAATAGCATTTTTCATTGGTAGAGCTGGTGTGCACTTACAAAGATACCAGTTAAACCGGAATACACAGTTTCTGACGGGTCAAAATCTTAATATATTTATTCCTATTCCTAATATTTTTCCTCCATTGTGCATAGGTCCTTAGAGCGTTTTTCAGTGACAGAACTGTGCGCTTTCAGTACACATTAAAGCCACTACACTAATCTAATGTGAATATAAAAGTCTCAATTGATAAAATCTCAATTGATAAAATGCCCAATATATATAATACATATATATTATGAAATGAAATAACACAATAAAATTAACTCGTCTTTATTAAACATACATACATTTTTACGTCGATTTATGTACAACGGCTTTAAAGTGCACTGAGAGCGCACAGTTCTGTCACTGAAAAAAACGCTATAAGGCCCTACGCACAATGGAGGAAATATTAGAAATAGGAATAAATATTCAGATTTTGACCTGTCGAAAACCGTGTATTTCGGTTTAACTGGTATCTGATATAAGTTAAAATATTAATATTTATTCCTGTTCCTAATATTTTTTCTATTGTACGCAGGTCTTAACCCAACTAACCATACAGATTGTAGCGCTCGCTGATTATGCAAGGTTAGCGTCTCTTGCGTACTCTTGTGTAAAAAATGTCAAAAGAACACCAAAGGAATGCCCGGAATGTCCGACGATGACGACGTTGCTTAAATGAAAACACGAAAGTTGCTCACACATCAAAACTTTACGTCGCAATATCTCCACTCGTAGGGCACATAGAGAAAAAATAGAAATACTTTTATAGTACAAACCAAGTGGAAGTTATCAATTGAGTCTACTTAGAACTTGATAGATTTAGCCCTTATTAAGATCCGGTAATCAGGAAAAACTTGTCGCTTCGCATAAAGGCCGGTATAAAGTCGCTAGTATAGAGTCGTTGCGCGTCGTAATCTTAGCGTGAAACACTATTGTGTCGCCCCTGATATTGTATGTATAATACTAGTAAATAGTACTCCATAGTCTCTCTCCTAACATCCTATTTATCTTTTTTCCATCTTCAATTTTTTGTAAATTATTTTTATTCTGTAGGAACTTGAGGAATTTCTATTATATTAATACAATTGATATATTACTCTATGATTAATAAAATTGTACCAAAAATCATACGTCACATGAATATTTACTGAGATTGTGAGTTATTTGAATAAAAGAAAATAGTAATCCATAATCCCTTCCTTTTTCATTGCCATTTTTAAACAATCTTTCGAAAATCAAATTACAATTTCCAAACACTTGAAATAAAATCTGTTACAATTTACGTTGAAATATTCCATAAAAGGGGAAACAACAATTACGAGGTGACGATTCGAGGGAAGAGATCCCGAGAAGTTTGACGGGTAATTGAGAGCTTCAATCGACAGCTAATTAGAGACGAGAATAATCAAGGTATGACGAGATATCTCGACGATTGTTGTTCCAGGCGTAATTAATCCCTCTAACATCATGCCACGCCCGGGAGTGTGCGTCATTAATAATCGGGCATTCTTCGTATTCGGCTCCCTGATCGCCTTCTACATTCCTATGATCGTCATGGTGGCGACTTACATTCTGACAGTACAACTATTGCGCAAGAAAGCTCGATTTGCAGCCGAAAATTTGGAGGGCGATCAATTTCGTCGACTAGGCGGCAGATATGCGTCTGCAAAAACGACATCATCGACAGCGTCATCGTCTAACTCCGTAACCGCAACCACCACCGTACGATCGTCAGCCTTAGCAAGACAGATTCGCACTTCCGATTGTACTGCAGAAAGTAAAAGGTGAGAATTCAATTATTTCTAAAATAATTTTTTTCCAAAAATAAAATCTTTGTTGTGAAAAGAAATTTAATTTTCGTTATTTATTTTTTTTCTTTCTTTAACAATCCCACACATCCTTTCTCCTGCTATATGATTTTGAGCTAGGAAACATTTTTTATATTGCAATTAAAATATATGAGTAGCCAGTAAACGCTGTTATATCTAAAAATAAAAAAAGATATTAAAATCTTTGGATTTCTTAACAGCTTAGCACACACTCGATTGGTGCTCATGAACTGAGAATTTAAACTATGTATTGTAAAAACAGTTACGATTAATAGATCAGTATCAATAAATAAAATCAAGAGAGAAAAGTAGGTTAAATTGCAAAAAAAATTTCCCTGCTTCCATAACTAAATAAATTTTTTTTTTTTTTATTTATTATTTTTTATGAAATCTTTTTATAATTTTTCAAAAAAAAGATCTTTTGATAAGAAAGATTATATAAGCTTTTTCGCTTTCCCCAAAAACATTTTTGATAAAAATAACTATTATATTTTTGCAAATGGTTTCATATTATTTATATCAAATATTTTGTATAATTAAATTACAATGTAAAATTTACATTTCAATTATAAATTACATATAATTAGCATGTAGATATATTTACAGGTATTATCTATAATTAATTACAATTAACGTAAAAATGAAATTACATACAGAATAAATGTTAAATAGTTAATTAAACGCAATTATACTTATTCATTATTTTATACTTTTATTATTTCTAGAAAGAAATAAAGTTAAATTTTAATAACATAATTATATAATTTATAATTATTTAAAAATAAATAGATTTAAAAATAATTATTAAAATAAATTTGCAGATATACAACACTACCTCATTTGTATATGTTATATTAATCGTTCATCAAACTGTGTTTCTATGGCGCAGTTTTATGCAAATCAAATCGCGCATGTAACATCCCTGATACCAATGCAAAGCAACGATCCGCAAGTCTATGCATCTTAAATCAAGCGTCGCGACGCAACGACCAGTCCGTGAATTAATACGTTTCCAACTTTTTTCATTAACATGTCAATTTTTAATCGTTAATTGTTGAAAACTTTCTGCACAACACTAACAACATTGCCGTGTTATTGTTATTGCACAATAAATAGCAGAATAAACGAAATAGGTAGTTTTATTCTCTGTAAGATACGTCATATTATTTCACTGAGGAAAATGTTTTGATTAACAAGAAGACTTAAGAATGGCATTTTGATTAAACTAAACAGAATTTATGATTGGTCTCACCATTCTTGTTAGACTTTGTTGTTGGTTTAATTAGTTATCTTAATTAAAAATTTTGCTGGGTTTCAGCAAAACGCTATTCTTATTGAGCCTTTTCATTGGTTCAATTATAATATTTTTCAGTAATGTAATATAAAATATTTTACAAAAATAAAAGCTACATTATTTATTTTATGTTTTTAATTTTGCAACAGCAATAACATAGCAATATTGGTTTGATGCACAGATTGTTGAGAGTTTACGATTAAAAATTGACGTGTTGATGAAAAAAATTGGAAATGCATTATCAATAACTAAAAACTCTGTTTCATCTTTCCACAAAATGTCATTCTTGTTAGATCTGTTTGTTGATTTTTAATCAGAATTGAGTTTAATCAGAACATTATTCTTAGTAACGAAAATAAAACTATTTTATTATTAAAGAATTTCTTTTAATTAAAATAATAATAGATAATACTTTTGTTTTTTTTTTATGTGAATTATTTCAGACAGAAGTCTTTTATTTAGAATTTCTTCTTTGTCTAATATTTTAACATTGTCCCAATCGAAATGGAATGTGTCAATTCTGTGTTCCGTGATACCAGAAGTTTAAATCACGTTTCTATTGATATGGTTTTTATGTTCCGAAATACATGTTTTAAGACATCTACATGTCTGGTTGAAGCGCCGCAGTCCTTGCAATCTGTAGACCACGTTGGAGTAGGACAACCTTGGAAGAGGGTCCTTCAGAATCTTAATAAATTTATTTAATTTGTTTATACCTTTATATGCCATATAAACTATTTTTAACAAAATTTCTAATTTTTTCCGATACCGACAGTAACGTAAAAAATTGTTGTGTGTTATTTTCATTTGGTGTCGGTTCAATATAATTTTGTGTATTAATTTGTTGACATTTTTTACGAAACCTCTTCTTGATTGTTGAAAAAATTATAAACTTAGTGGATAGCCATTATCCAGAAGAATTTTAATTATTGCATTGAAATTGTTATCATGGAACATAGGATGTGATTATAATAGTATCCTGTCAATCAAACTAATTATTGTGTCTACTTTTTGAGACAGATGGTGCCATGAGAAAAAGTTTAAAAAACAACCTGAGAATGTAGGCTTTCGATACCTATTGTAAATGAGATTATTATGTTTTATTAATCGGACATCTAAAAAATGCAGTGAATAATAACGGAATATTTTATTTCTGATTTCTTTTATATTAGCAATCTTAAATCTTAAGAAATTATATTCAATTTCTTTAACAAAATCAATTTTAGTATTCTTCACATTGCATTGTAAGTCGGTAAGCAAAAATCTGTATCTAATTGTAATAAGGTTGTACCACAGGCAGGATAACTATGTTACTGAGACGTTTAAACAATTGGTTATTTATTTCTAAGATATCATACTTAGAAGGTCCATACTTTGATACAGTGAGATTGATTTCAATAATATTAAGTCAATACTGTCAGGTTTGTGAAAGTAAAAATTTTCAAATTTAATTATATTCTGATTAGAAGTGTTGCTCACAAATTCCTTGCTGTTTTCTGTTATACAGAAATAATTTACATTAGAAATATTTTCATTAAGTTTTTATTGTGCATTTTCAACAACCAATGAAACTATTTATTTAATTTTTGCTCTTCAGTATCACGTAACTTTTTCAAAACAATGAATTGAGAACACGAGCAAAGTAGTTGAAAATGCTTAGAGGAAGATTATTCATTATGAATTATTATTATTATCATTATACACACATATATATATATATATACATATACATGATTATTATTATTATCCGTATTCAGAATGCGTTTCTATTGATGAAAGCGCGCTTTTATCTCTAAAATTCAATAGTATGTGTAACGTAAACTATAGCATGTTAAAACGTTAACATCATTGTAAGCGTGTTCTGTATACGGGCCTATATTTTTCGTGAGATGACAAATTTCATATTTGAGATATTTACTAAATTTAAAAGTATCTGCTATTTCAAATTTCAATAACAACTGTATGGGTCTATTGTTGTATTGTTTATTTTATTTTGTTAGTTATACATTAAAAGCAATTTTTGTATTGCCATATAGAAATTTAATTCTAATTAAATAAGATGAACTATGATATAAAGTAATATAAAGGAACGTTTGGTTTCTAAAAACAAAAGTTTTTAGGGGATTTAGAAAGTTTCGTTTAATTATTGAAGCAGCAACAAATGCGGAGATGTGAGAAAGGTTCTGCCGCATATGAAGTTAGTAGTGAACGACGCCGAAAGTCCCGCCGCAGGACCTCGGCTCAAGTTGAAAGTGGATCAGGCGACCCAAACGCCGGAGAACATTGCACGCGAAACACGGAATTTCACCCTCAGGGCCTTGAAACTACAATTGAACGTTACGCCGACCACGCTAAATCTCAGGTTAGCCTTTTCTCCAAGGAATCTGGACATTAAAAATTCCACATCTTTGAAAATCGACATTCTTCAAGGTTTTTAGCCGGCAGAACGAAAAAGAGATCCTTGGCCGCGAACGCAGTCGCGACTGAACAAAAGGCTAGCAAAGTTCTGGGACTGGTGTTTTTCACGTTCGTACTGTGTTGGGCACCGTTCTTCCTACTTAATATTTTCTTCGCCGCATGTCCCAAATGCCCTGTGCCAAGACACGTGGTGGATACGTTCCTCTGGCTGGGCTATGTGTCATCGACAATCAATCCAATCATCTACACCATTTTCAACAAGATCTTCCGAACCGCCTTTATTCGCTTGTTGAAATGCAAGTGTTCGAGGTAACATAACTATGCTTCCTCTACATATAATCCGAGTAGTAACCAGTCGTTATTTTAATGTCAATATTCAGTCACATCACACGTCGATTATATACTTGACATTAATTTTAACACGTCAAAAAAACTTTATAATCATGACATTATAATATTATATGTATAAATATTAAATATCATATATTCTCTATACATGTAAGCAATGTTAATTTCAAAAGAGAGAAATATTAATTTTTTACTATATTTTACTTCCTTTTTAAATTTTGTAAAATATTCATAAAATATTTAAAATGACATAAAATAATATAGCTCAATAAGAAAATTAATTCAAAATAAATTAAAAAGGCTACGAGCCAAAAACAATGTCGTTTGATTCTAAGTGTAATTAATAAATATAAAAATTTGAAAAACAATAATGTAAACAAACGTTTCGACACCGATCGGATCATTATCAATATTAACTCAGATGTTGGTTCAAAAAAATACATTATATATATATATATACATACATATAGTTGCATAGTACGAGAATATATAATATTGTTATGAAGTTCCATCTATGATATTTTTATAGTGTTAATGATTTTTTTTAATCTTGATACAGACGCTTGTGTGGTTGGAATATTTTATTGCGTGCGGTACATTACTGTTGATAGTCATTGTGATGCTTGTGACCAGTAAATTATACTGTCAATTAATTAGAATAAAAATTGATGTTATAAGTGTATAATAAATGAGATAATACAATACAATATACGTGTAATATACATTGTAAAATTAATAATATATAATTCTACAGTATAACGATAAATTACAATTTTAATTGGAATGACGTTAAAATTCTTGACAATAAACTCTCTTACAATAAAAGACTAATAACCGAAATGGTTCACATAAAAAGACAAAAACAGGGTTTAAATAAACAAATTGAATCATTGCTTGAGAATCATATCTACAATCCTTCTCCCCCTCACAGTTCTCCTTCCTTCTTTCTTTATTTCTACTTCCCTTCCTAGTCTTATTCCCTACCATTTTTCAAAGAGTAATGGCAAATTTCGCTTATTTTTTGGACCTCGAATTTCAAACTTTTTTTATGGTAAATAGTACTATTAGATGAAACATTAATCCCAGTAAAATTTTAAAATGAGCGTAGGCACAATTCTGAAGATACAAAAGGTGAAAGTGATGATTTCAAGTAATGACAATTGTGTGATTCCTTGGATTTGCTCAATACCATGGGATAAAAATACCTAATCCTGAAATATGCAATGTATCTATCACGATTCACAAAACAACCTTGCATAGTGAGAGGCAAGAGGACTCACATTAAAAAAGCACCCCAATCTGTGACAGTGGGACTCACAGTAGAAAAACATCCCGATCTGTAAGAAGCGATGTCAAGTGTCACTTCAACTCCATCTATTTCGGGGAATTTTCATGTTATACGAAAACTAAAGTCATATTTGAATCCGGCGTAAAAAAAATCCATAAGAAACGATATGTTTCACTTCGTTAAATATATATTTTATTCCTTAGTATGGATACTTGAAGAGCTTCGTGTAGTTTCATAAGAAACCATCACCTTCATAATTAACTTTTCATTGCGAAAAGTCTTACCTCGGTCGGGAGTCGAACCCGTGCGAAGTAAATAAACAATAAGAATTGATATTGTTTATTTACATTGCCTAAATAGACGTTGTACTTACTTATACTGATTATTGCGAAGAATATTATTAAGGCCTCGGCAGTCTAAAGGCTTAGGACGCTCGCACGGAATGCCAGAGATCCGGGTTCGACTCCCGGCCGAGGTAATACTTTTCGCAATGAAAAATTAATTATATACAGTTTTTAATAGATTATATTCAACATTATTAAGATCGATATAAGAATGCGTAAACAACACCAATAATCGTTAAATTGTTAGTCAATTTAACTCGTGATACAATATTACCTCGGATATTACTGCGGTAATTTATTATTATAGTGTTGCGTTTCAAGTCTGAAAAATTTTCGACGTGCAATCAAAGAATTACATATACGTATAGTATATAAATTCACACGCAATTATTTAGAAGCATCCGTGATTCAGCTTAGACCGCTGTAACATTGTCTCATTCCATTAATTTATAATTCAATATAATATATTGAACATAACTAATGCTAATACGAAGCCTGTAACAGTCTAGCTTGAATTCTTTAATTGCTAATTTAGAATTGTGAATTTATATCAGGAGACGCGGTAGTGTCTCTCCGGCTATGTTCAAAAAACTACTACTAGTTAATTTAAAAGTTAGTTAAAAGATAATAATAGACACTACAATAAGTCTCTTATCCCGAGCCACCAAAGTCCATTCTTCGGGGGTGCATAACTACTAAAATATAAAAAATTTTAAATCGAACGTTATATGTATTGAAAGGCGGCATCGGCACGAGTAATTTGAGCCAAAAAACAAAAATGTGATATTGTAATGTCGGTCTTATAAACAAGCAAGTAAAATCTGTGTTTGACACTATATCATTTTTATTGGAAGAAAGAAAATTGTACATAGAGCATCTGAAATTTCCGTAAGTTCTATACACTATTTGAGTTATTTTTATTCTCTTTTTACCATTTTATCAATTTAAAGCTTATAATGTTATCTCAGAATCATGATGCGGATATCACTTTGTGGGATGATTTTCTTTCATTAACGACTTTGACTAAAAAGATGGCTATTAGACGGATTTCCATATATTTTATTTTTTAATGTTAATTCTTATATTGATTGTATGACTGAAGAGGACTTCTGTATGAGTCGAAACGTTTCAAGAAGCACTTCTTCGTAATTTGATTAGTGAGATTATTAATAAAGATCGTTCATCTGAATTTTACTTGCTTGTTTATAATACCGACATTACAATATCACATTTTTGTTTTTAAAATATAACAAGCGTTATTTTAGTATTTATATTTTTATATGAGCCAAAAAAATTTAAAATCGGTCAAACCGTTCGCTGGAGATACAAGCGGTCAAAAAGTGATGATTTTAATAAAAAATTAAGAAACGTCTCCTTCTCTGTCTGTCCGTCCGAAATTATAACTTTTTAACATTCCCTCTCACCTTTCACTCACACCTCCACCATCTTCGACCAACCGCAGGTCAAATGTCACTCGAGCCTCGTATGGCATTTGGACCGCGCGCGGTGAGGTGAGGGGGACAGCGGAGGCGATTCGAAAATCGGCCGAAAGTTACATACACTTTCTGTATGTTCACTTTGAACTGGCTCCTTTAATTAATAATATATCAGTTACTTTTCGTGGTAATATATTATTATTAGATAAAAATGTTTAAATTTTTGATTATCTCTTTTTTTGAACGTGGCTTATTGACCTTTTCATTTTTTTGATATGATACTAATATACGTAGTCCCCCCAAACTGCGCGCCGAATAATCGTCGGTCTCGAAACGTAAATCTAATAAATTGCCGCGGTACTATCATGAATTAAAACAAATTAATAATTAATTGATGCTTTTTTGGCATCTTATATCGATGTTAAACTATAATAAAATCTGAAAATACTAAATCTGGAAATATTCTTCTTACTGCGAAAAATATTACTTCGGCCGGGAGTCGAACCCGGATACCTTGCTACAATATATTGGATACCTGGCTATAATATATTAAACTATAAATTAGTACTATATATTACTAACTTTTGTACTATTTTAGATCTTGTATTGATAATTTAAAAGCTATTAATTCTACAGTGTATTACACGTATATTGTATTGTATTATCTATACATTTATAACACTAATTTTTATTCTAATTAATTGACAGAATAATTTACTGGTCACAAGCATCACGTCTATAATGACTAACAGTAATGTACCGTAATAAAATATCATAACCACACAAGTGTTTGTATCAAGAATTAAAAAAACTACAAAAATATCATAGATGGAATTCTATTAACACATTTTTATAAATTTCATATTCTCGGACCATGTAACTATGTATACGTATATTATATTTTTTCCGAACCAATATCCGAGTTAACATTGGTAATGACCCGATCGGTGTCGAAACGTTTGTTTACGATATTTTATATTTTTTATATTTGTTATATTTAGAATTAAACGACATTGTTTTGGCTCATAGCCCTTCTAATTTATTTTGAATTTCATAAAATATTTATCTATTGTAGAAAAAAGACGTTTTATATTTATAGATACTCTCTATGTTAAACATAAATCTGAAATTAAGTGGAGTGTTTCTTCAAATATGTAAAGTTCTCTTTGAAAAATTTAATCTAAAAATTGTATTTTGAAAATTATTTGAGAAAAATTAATATTTTAAAACATATAGTAAAATTATTCTAAACTTATGCGTAATTTTAAATAAGACTTTGATTATGCTATCAGAAACTACAGTTATATGAAATATAATTTCATATCTTCTATCATGAATGCTGCTTAATAGCACATTATAAATAATACAATTTACTACGTGAATCGATACTACGCATTAGAAGATTTACGCAGTGAACTGAACTGCTTACAGGATGTCAAGGAGGAGTATGCATGTCAGAAGATATGAGAACGCGAAATTACATGTTATAGAACACGAAACTGCTTGTCAAAAAGCATTATATGATTCTAATTTTAGAAAGTAAAAGAAACATTGATCGAAAATATTTTATCTACATAATAATGTCTATATTTGACTATAATGACGTCTTTGGTTTGAGATTTAAAACTGTCAAAAATATACATATTTTTCAGTTAATTTTGAAAATAAATGACGAATAAAATTCATCGTGACACATTATTATGACGGTTGTTTACTATTTACTTCGAAAATTTTTCAATGATCTTAATACGCAACAATAATTTAATTCAATTTAGTATTATTTAATTTTATTATTTAACTATATTTTCCTATAATACAACTCTCAGAAATACTGTGCAAGCCTTTGATGTTCTCTAATCAGATTTTTTGAGCTACAAATAAGCTTCAATTGTCCAGAAAATCTAATAAAGGTCTAATAAAAACTGTTAGTTATATAATTTTTTTCGTAAAATAAAGGAGAAAAGCATTGAATAAAAATGTCACAAATGTCACATAAAAATGTCAACTCTCTTGTAGGGCTACGAGGCCTTCGAGATATCGCTCGGTCACTGGAAGCGGAAGGGGAGCAGTGGGCCTGTGCACATCGGGTGCTCTTCCATTGGCCATCAGTCTTCAAGGTACACCGTTATTAACACCAACACCAAATCCTACATTGACGCCAGCATCAGGAAACTCATTTGTCACGATGATGCACCGAACGCCAAGCTCTCTATATCAAGATACCTTCTTGATTCACGAATGCGATCAAGACGATCAATAAATAGATAATCCACAAGATCAACATTGCACAACATGATTTTTGTCCTCTCTGTAGACATAGAGGCAATTTTAGTTGAAAAATAAATGTACATAGCATGTAAATAAAGTTTGTTTTAGCTTAAATAAGTATGATACTCTCTGCTTGTTACTTGGAAACTATGCGCGAAATTTAGGTTCAAGATTCTAATTCTGCTTCCTTAAGTCGACTACAGTCACCTAATTAATTAAGTTTTCTGACTAATTAATATCAACCAAGAAGTTAGAAGGAAGTTTCAAGTTTGTTGTGCAGTGTTATCGATCAAGAAGATTTGCAAAATAATTTTCTTTTAGCGAATTCTTAAAATTGCTTAATGACTATCTATTGTTGAAATTTAAATATCCATGTATAAAACACAAAATAAAACAATACTATTATTTTAACTCAAACTCTTTCACAAATTAACTTTTTTCCTTAATTTTAATATCTAAAATGATCTTTTCGCTTAATGTAAAGAATGTAGCAAAGGTTACAAACTTCTTTTTATGTGTAGAAGTTTATGAGTAATCGCAATCAAATTCAGATCCGTGGCTTCATTAAATTTGTAAATATCGATCTGCGATTATCTCTGCAGAGATTAAGAAGATATTACATATTTTTTTTAATAAAAGAAATGAATTGTAACAAAAGTAACAATAAATTGATCCTATATATTGTTTAACATTAGAGGGTAATTAATTGTGAAAAATAATAAAATATTACAAGAAATAATTGTACAAATAGTATTGAGGTTGCCATCTAACAATATTCCTTATAAACAGAAATTGGAATATCCACCATCGATAATTCAACCTGTCACTTTACTTCATCAACGCTACAGCAATTAAAATAATCAACAATCGATATACCAGTACTATATATGCGTAATCATATATATGCGAATTTAGTTCAATTTTATCAACATGAGAACAATCTTCTTTCTTATTTATCCTCAGCAGGAAAATTCTGAACGAGATATGATTTACACAGTTACAAAATGAATCCTAATACGATAGTCTGACGTTTCAAGATTCCGCAAGATGACGACAGTAAGAAGAATTTTATCACATCTCCTATTCTGTTCTAAAATAAAATTTATCGGTGATAGAAGCAAACCTATCAATAAAGGACGAAGAATCCTTCATCATCATTTATTTGTCAAGTTTAATCTAATCGTTTAAAAACTTCTAACCATCTAGAAGAACAATGTTTTCAGTATTTGCAGCGGAATACTGTTTAATCTTTCTATTTTCAAAACTTCAAAACATAAATTGAAAAATATTTCAAATAGATGCTACACACATACATGCACGCACGTACCCACATATACAGGATGTCCGAAATTCAAATGTCAAAACTTCGGGAGCGTGTAGGGGATCAATAAACTAAAAAAAATTCTATAGAGATATGTTTATTTTTGCTTTGTTTTGGAGAAAATCGCAAAAAAGACAAAACGTAGTTTCCATTTTTGTATCTTTTTATCAGACGCGATAGAGTATCCTGCCATGTTCAAACAATTACTGGTTAGTTTAAGTTTAAAAGATTAATAATAGACATTACAAGTCCCTTATCCCAAGCCACCAAAGTCCATTTTTCGGGGGTGCATAACTACTAAATACTAAAATATAAAAAATTTTGAATCGCACGTAATATATCCTGAAAGGCGGCATCGAGTAATTTGAGTTAAAAAAAAAAAAAATAAAATCGATCAAGTCGTTCTGGACATATGAGCGGTCAAAAAGTGATGATTTACATGAAAAATAAAGTACCGTCTCCCTCTTCTTCTTCTTCTTCTTCTCTGTCCATCCGGACGTATTATAACTTTGTAACGTACTCTCTCACCTTTCACTCACACGCCTACCAACTTCGACCCATCCCCTCCCCCTCCCTCTCCCCCCACCATCCACCTCCATCACCCCTCTCTTTTGCCGTATTTTCACTCTCTTTCGTTATATAATATTTTTAAATTTTTTATTTATATATATTTGTGATATATTTGTACTCTGAAAAGTAAGTGATATCAGAAAAAAATCATATCATAAAAATGAAAGCCGTGTTCAAAAAAAGATCCTCAAAAATTTAAACATTTTTATCTAATATATTGCTATGAAAAGTAACTGATACATTTATTAATTAAAGGTGCCAGTTCAAAGTGAATATACATAAAGTGTATATAACTTTCGGCCGATTTTCGAATTGCCTCCGTCTTCCGCTGTCCCTCTCACCTCACCGCCCCGCGCGCGGTCCAAATGACGCGAACAGTCTTAGTAATGAAGCAAAAAACGTTTTTATAAAATAATAAATTTAAATATTAAATAATTTTAAAAAATTTTAATTGTCTTTTCTCAACAGAGTACAATAAGCGAAAAATAAAAGTACGCTGTTTGCCGAAAAGAATACGGTTGGTAATTTTACTTTTTCGTCCATTTCCCTTAATAATGTTTATATTTCTAAGCAGCACATGTTGATTATGTAAAGGTTGTTCTTGTGCTCTTAAGGAGCAACGATTGTATAGGTATCGTAGTTATAAGCGATTACTACAAAAAATATCGTTTGCTATCGTAAATTTTCGTATTACTTTAAAGTCGAATCTAACGGAATAGCTCCGCTCTACTGGCTGTATCCTATTCAAGGTACTGTATATATAAAATACATATTTAAGGTATTATACATATAAAGCACATGTTTAAGGTAGGTACTATATAGTATATAAAATATTCTCAACATATCGCTCCCATGTTTCAAAATGACACAACTAAACAACGTGATTTTCGAGTAACGATATAACTACGTAATAAATGAGTTAAAAAACATTATCCTCTATCATTTTTCATATGTACAGTCCTATAAGATTTAATATTTAAATACTGATTATCCTATCAGTTATCAAAAGTGAACTAACTTAACTTAATCTAACTTCATTTTAAAAAATCATCACACAAAATCATTACAACACAAAAGGAACTTTAAACAATTATTAATTAGTCAATATAATTTTCTGCCAATTTGAAAAATAGTACTTTTACCTTTTTAAGAAACAATTTTTTTGAGTTGCACCAATTTTGAAGTAAGGAAGTAATACACGTAAGGGGAAATAAATTTCTCTCCCCAAAATAAATAAAAATTAAATAAACATATAATTATTAAAAATTGAAAAAGTAATATGAAATAAAAATACTTCGTGTATGTATGTTCCTCATTTTTTAAATAAAATTTCAAATTTTAATATAGTTTAATTTAAATGCTAATTATAAAAGTATTTAAAAATAAAAATATTTATTTTAATATAACCAAATGTATCATAATCAAACTCATAATCAAATGTATCAAAACGTATAAATATTATAAGCAAATAATGTAATAATATAAAACATATATATATAAAAATAAAAACATAATAATATAAAAATGTTATTTGATTTTAAATTATTTAATATTTAATTACGTAAACATCAAAATGTGAGTATACAAAATTAATTAATTTTGATACATTGTATATTTAAAATCCACGTAATAAAAAATTGCACGCGTAATGTTGCAAGTTAAATACGCGTAAGTATTTAACTTGCGACGAAAACATACCTGATAAGTTCAAAATTGTTGATGGCAGCTGTTCGACCCAGTTGGCATCCAAAAGACAAACGATTATTATAATTTACGATTCCTTGGATAGGAACAGTAATTAAGTTGGAAAGAATTTTCATTTGTTGATTCGAATATAGTTAGATTACTGCGGATACGATTTTACGAAGCAAAGTTTGCGTTACCTTCAGCTATGTAAGTTTGCAAAAACATTCTAACTATAATTAATGGAATTTAAAATAAAAAGCATTCTGTATTAAATTAGTATAAAATAAATAAGTTATTTTTTTAAATTATGTTAATAAATAATTAATTATGTAATTAACATTAAAAAATAAGTCAAAGTCTACTTGTTAAATAAGAGATTAAAAAAATACGATGCGAGATACAAACAATATTTAAATACATATAATAGGAAAAAATTAAATACACATCGCAATATAGGTTCAATTGTCAATTTTAAAAAACATAGCTTTAACAAAATCCTTGTTTTGAAATGATTCATAATTCGATATGTCTCTAAAATAGAAACGCAAAAAATAGAAAGCTTTATACATATATAGAATTTCGATACATGAAACTCGATTTTGTATTTTATTTTCGATATTGGAAACGTGATTTTGCGTCCGGCAATATCTTTAAAAAATAATCCAAAGATAAGTTCGACAAATAAATAGGAATTCTAAAATAGAATTTCTAAATAGCTCTATTTAGAAAAGATCACGATATATAATTGCCGGTGCAAAGACTCGAGAAATTCGTTGGGAAACTCGTTCGTTGAACGTTTGAAATTTCAAGCTCTTTTGCTCTTACCGCTGATTTTATTCCTTCATTAGGCTTAGGTAATTAGGGTAAAAGCACCCCGGCCTTTGCGCGCAGGATAAATAGAATAGCTCTACTTGAAAGCCTAAATGTATTTGACGACCTAAATGTATTTGAGAATATCATCGCGCTAATGAAAATCTTATAAGTTTCGATAAAAATGTGAGAGCCGATGATTGACACCGATGAGTTTTTCGCGAATTGCAAATTAAAATTATTCGGTTTATATTAAATTATAATTATATTAAAATAATAGATATAATTTAACGAGATATTTAACTTCTACTTTGCAATTAACAATATATAATTGTGTTTTAGCCTAGAAAATGAAAAAACTAATGCTCAAAAAAGATAACTCTTTTTTTTAAATAATTAATTATAAATACTCAACAAAATTAAAGGATTACTTGTTATACCCTGCAAAAATAGGCAAATTTCGAAATAGAATAACTTCGTCAAAAATCATCGTATCGAGATTTTTAAAAAAGCATATTTGAAATTTCTACTTTTCAAATCTGTTTAAAAAACCGTATTACTGATAATTTCATAAAGTTACACAAACGTAAATGAAGATGCACCAAATCTCAAAATTTTTTACGAAATTTGCGAA